TTACGTTTTAACTCGCCACAATTACATTATAGATATCCTGAACTGGAATTACGTCTAGTCAGAATGAAATTGTAGATATCTCAAACTAGATTAATGGATAGTCATAATTTGATGCAGATATCTATTATCAAGTTCTAGATATCTTTGAATAAATTGTCGTTAAAGATATCTCAAATCTGAGATATCTCTAACTTTTATTATGACTAGTCAAAATGTAATTACAGATATCTTGAAACAGAGGTTTGACTGGGCGAATTGATGTTGCCAATATCTGTAATTATGGCAGAAGCTGTGATTGCACACTCGGCTGTTATCTTCTGTTCCCCACCGTCTGAGCAGCGGTTCTCCTCCGGACCTACAGCAGAATGTATTCATTTCCTAGTAAAACTTCGCTAAAAGCCACAGCGCTCCTCCCATGGTGTCCCTGGGAGACTCCCCGGCATTCACTCAACTTTACGGAAACTATCGGCAGCCATTTTGAGTCTTGGGAAATCATGGAAATGTAGTTTTTGAATTACGTCCAACCGTTCTATTTCATGGCATTTCTAACTAGCTTATCGATGACCACAACCGTCATTTCTTCTGCTAAGAAACTGTTAAAATGATGTTTCCTCTTCCCTCCTCCAGTTCATTTGGGTCAGTATCCAATGGGAAGCCTCGCATGAGCAGAATCATCAACACAATTTTGACACTGCACTTTTTCCACCAACAAACGCGTTCCAATATGTGCAATAACTGTTACTACTTCATCTTGTGTACATAGTGTTCTTAAAAGATACCACTAATAATAATCTTCTATTTTTCTCTTGTAATTTTTGTACAGTGTGTTTCTGTTTCTTTTTCTTACAATTTGCACTGTGTGTTTCTAAATTATTCTTGCACTGACTGTACACTTTTCTTTTGGAGCTGTTGTAACGGTGAACTTTCCCCACTGTGGGATCAATGAAGTTTATCTTTTCCTTTATCTTGACTAGTCACAATATCAGTCAGGGTTCCCATGCATCTTGGAAAACCTGGAAAATGATTGGAAACAGTGAAATTATCCTGGAAAATTATTTGTCCTCCCCCTGCCAATGCAAACAGGTTAAAAGTTATGCACATGCATGTCTGTTGTCCCCTTAGCTTTTGGGCATCAAAAACTGAGTTGTGCAGTAAACTGACATGAAACAAAGGAAATAGTTTTTCAGTGATTTATTGAAAATATACAGATATTTTTAGGGGAAGTGCAGGAGCGAAAGCAAGAGAGACGAGAAAGTTGAGTTGGGAATTGTCCAGTTGAACATTGAAACTCCAATTTGTCATGCTAATCATTACGCTGTAATCTGTGGGTGTGTTTGCATTATTCTATGATACATTTGTCATAATTATTTTCCATGGATAAATTATAGTCACAGACTGCACATCAAATGTCTGAGTAATAAACATAGAAACAATCTGGATAAATGCAAGCTACAACTGTAGAAAACACGTACAAAGAATGAGTGGGACTGGGGAATGTATTAGTGTATGACGTGATAGCTTGTGTCTGTGGCGGCTGAAAATGTCCTGGAAAAGTCCTGGAAAATAACTTCAGGGAAAGAGTGGGAACCCTGACAGTTAGAGATATCTGTACAGAGCATTCCCGTCATTGCACTGGTAGATGAACTCGATTGGCAATGTAGTCCTGTCAGGGGTTTTTTTCAGAGCCAAAAGCCGCATGATGGAAAACCGGCAACGCAACTGTTGTTCCCTGCACTGAGAATCTACTGAATATTCGTCATATCTGTGCTTGTCAGTCAAACAAAATTACTTTAGATGGGCTCTTGAAATTCTGTCCCTCCTCAGAGACCCTATCAACATCTGCACATAAGGCTTCATGGGGATTATATTATCCAAGACAACTAAGTGCTCAGCAAGCAGTGTGTTTGCACACAGTATATTATCCTTAACATATCCTGCTCCGGAGCGCGCTGGGTGTGATTCATAAGTTACCATGACGATGTACCCAGGAACAACACCGACTGTCAGACAACCTGGGAGCATGGACCAAGAAGACAAAACAAAGGCTGAAGGTGGACGGGGGCTTGTTCTTCAGACTGACTGACCCAGACGTACAGCCAGGAGCAACCAGGGCATAGAAAAAGCAAAAGCTGGACACCTTAGAGGAATTAGCTGAGAACTAGCAGGTTCTGAGCTCACTGACAGGAGAACTGGCTGGAGGATTAAACTGCAGACAGTCAGGCTGGCTGTCATTAGTGAGCTGGTACCACAAAACAGGTTAGCAGATGTTACAGACACTTCAAAACCTTGGCTCAGAGCAAGTGACCAGAAACATATAGGATGCTGCACCAGAGAGTGTAAAATAAATCAAATTTCATTTACAAATAATCAAGACAAAACAAGAGTCAGGAGGCTGGTAGAAATAAACACAAAAACAGAGGAAAACCCAGGCCAACCTTGCAATGGGCTGTTGGACCTGCAGCTTTCCCTCTAAGCTAAGGAAGAACAAACAGTCTATTGTACCATTGAAAAGAAAGACCTGCAAATGGTACACAGACCTCCGTCCTCTGCTCCAGGAAGAGCAAACAAGTGAAATGAAACAGAGTGAAGGTGCTGACGTGGCGGTGGATGTTTGACAGGTATTCAGAACATGCGCACGTCCGTGAAGTGGGGGCTGGCTGGTGTGATCAAGAGAGCCAGAGAGCAGAGCAAGCACAGAGAACAGCAACCAGTGATCTCATCGAACTCACTCCTCCACTCTTTATAGGTAGGGCCACAACATGGAATGAGCAGCACCTGAGTGTAGAAAAAAAAAAAACAGGAAGGAGGGAGCGTGTAACAAGTAAGCACTGTGTTAATACACAATATATTATTTTAACATATCCTGACAACCTGGGACCATGGACCAAGAACATAAAAGAAAGGCTGCAGGTGGATGGGGGTTAAGCAGGATGGGCTTCATACTGTAATGTGTTCCACTGAAGACATTGAATCTCATTGTGAAGTTGTACATGTGGAGTACATATAAGCCCTGCTGAAATAGGCTGCCGACGTGTTCAGGACGTTTCCTGCCTTTGTCCTGAGTCGGCTGGAATTGGCATTAATCTGACCTAAATAATTTGCTGGTCGAATAGCAGTTAGATTAATTAGAGCATAATTCTGCATCAACATTCAGGAACCCATTTGACCAAACTGTTACCCAACATTTTGGCCACAATCATTGATCTTCTTCTAGGGGCAAAAGCCACACAGCTCAGTCAGTCAGATTAATGTTGCTGCCCAACAAGGGAACCTGACTGGAACTATTGTGTATTCTGAAAAATAACCTTAAATGACTGCGTTGCTTGAATGTTTACTTTTGGCATGGAAGAAAATTTTAGCCTTATTCTTTAAGCTGCGGCCCAGATGGTGTTAAACAGATTTGGGAGCACATAAAGAACAAATATAAGAGGGGAAAAAAAGACAATTTACTTTCATCTCTGAATGTGAAATAACAAAACCTCTTTCACTGGCTCCAAATGCACTTCTTTTTTATTCAAGATCAACAATCATAGCAGGAGAAAGACATCAGTATGTTATATAGGCTCCACCTGAGTAACACATGTGATAGGGTTCATATGATCATGTTCCACCACCAAGACAAGAAAAAACAATCAAGAGGCCTTCAGCTAATCTTTACAACAAACAGTAAGAGGAGCAAGAGCCGATCAAAGTACTGCAGACAAGGTGACATGTTAATACCACATACAAAGCTTTATAGTTGACATTCAATCCTTTTGTTTGGTATGTTTCACAAATGTTACAAATGTAGCTATTCTGAATAGATTTTGAATGGATACAAAGAAGGTTAAACATCAGCTCAAGCAAAAAAATTCTTTCATATTTTTAACAAAGGTAATGACAGAAATCCAGTGATCAGCACCACTTGGTGTACATATTTTTTCAATATTTTATCAGTTTCGTCTCTAAAAAAAGTTCTGATTTGATCATTAGCAAGATCTAACCATAGAATTGCTGTTTTTGGATCAGATTGCATTAGATTGTAGAAGTGTACCTCATAAAGAGGCTGTTGGGCAAAAATGAGTGCTAGTAAACATTTTCATCACCTGTAGGTTGCTATTTGTTACTGTGAAAGCATTTCAGATTAGGATCATGTAGCCGGTTCCACATAACGTACAATTCAGCAGGAAGGAATCTGTGAACAAGCAGAATTTCTTTGAAATAACAAGGTTCTAATGGATCAATATTGCCGGGACTGCGATGCCCTGCTATCTTCACTCCTATGTGAGATGTAGGACGTACTCCTGCTTTCTCCATACACAGTGCTATGAAGACATCATCAATGTTATGAAACATGACGGAGTGGGACATGTTGTACATGACCAGAGCTGAGTAGCCGGACAACAGGAAGCCTCCACCACCTAAGTAAGGAGGGTATGTGTCTGTCTCCTGCACCTGAACTGGAACATAATACTTACTGTCTGGAAATCGATATGGCGTTCTATTCTCGATCAGAAAGCCAGTAAAGAGATGTTTGCTTCCATCATTGTCCTTCAGACTTTTTAGATAAGAAACCATGTTGTCTGTGTGAGCAAGAACATCATCATCACCGTTCATCAGGAAGCGAACATGTGGACAGTTTCTGTCCATCCATTCTAGGAAGAGGAC